TTTTTTTCTTTTGGATGAGATCACAGGAACATTTTTAATGAACCTGTTAGAGATTTTAGGGTGTTAGGCTACTCAGGTGAGCTGTTCTTGGGTTATAATCATTGGCAATGTTGTAATCAACTACCCATGTATTTCTACAACAGCCTCAGATGCACTCCAGTCTCAGCATCACCAAGGTGCTCTTATCTTGATATATATGCACCTTGTCGTATGATGGTTTGCTGTTTGATATCTATCAAATATTCAGTGAAAAAAAACTTGTTTGTTTTTCCATAGATATAATTTACAGTATTTTTTGCAAATAGCACAATCAGTTCTTTAGAGATTCTAAGTATTTGTGCAAGGATATAAAAACCCTGAGATAAAAGAAAAATACTACTGTTTTTAAATGACAATGGTGAGAATTGCATCTTTTATATTTTCAGGCTATACAACATAATTCTTTAAATTATTATGATGAGATTTCAAGTCAATAAGTGATCTTGTACTCGGTGCTACTTTTTAGCTAAGAAAGGCTGTAAACAGGGAACAGCAGTAGCTTACATAACTGATATGGACTGTGAGCTGCTTTATCATTTTTGGTAAGGATTGGTGTTTCATCATTTAGATGCTTCGGGTACTTTCATTGCTACACATATTTTTGTTGTAGTAATATGTACATAAAGGTAAATCATACCGAATGGCATAAATGAAAAGCAAGACCTGCCACCTCCCACCGGTCCTAACCTTCAGTCCGATGCCTTCACATCAGGCAGCTACTCATCACTTCTGAAGATCTTTCTACAATTAGTTCCCCCACCATTTAAAAATATTATGCTTAACAATATTTTCTCAACTTTAGATATTATCTATTCATTTCCTCTTGTGATAATTAAGATTAGTTATCACAAGTACACCAGTACACCACCACCATATCCTTTGGTTTTGAGAAGAAGCTCACTCCCTCTTCTTGGGGAGGAGTGTAGAAAAAGCAGTTTCACTTCTTTCTTGATGAATAATTCCAGACTCTGAGGACCTTCATTTCCTTGAGCCTCATGTTTTCAAAAGTGAGCAGTATTGATGTTTCTTGGTATTAAAACTGGTTTGGATTGATTTATTCCTACTGAATCCTGGAGATGGTGCTTAGACCTGAAGTATCAATAGTTTTCTCACAAATTATTAATTAATATTCAGAACTTATCCCACTTTGAATTAGCCATAGTCCAATGATAAAAATTCTTTGATGTTATTGTTTCCCACCCATTTTTAATTTTAATTTTTAAAATTTTACTTTGTTGTGAAAAGAACACTTAATGAGATCTACCAATTTACTAGATCTTTTTATTAGGGTATCATTGATAGGACTCTCTTACAAAGACTTCACATGAAAAACAGTATGGTTACTACATTCACCCATATTATTGAGTTCCCACCATCCCCCATTGCAGTCGTTGTCCCTCAGTGTAGTAAGATGCCACAGAGTCACTACTTGTCTTCTCTGTGCTACACTGTGTTTCCCATGATCCCCCACACCATGTGTATTAATTATAATAACCCTAAAACACCTTCTCCCTCCATCCCCAACCACCCTGCCCCACCCCTCTCCTTTGGTAACATAGTCCCTTCATAGAGTCTGTGAGTCTGCTGCTGTTTTGTTCCTTCAATTTTGCTTTGTTGTTATACTCCACAAATGAGAGAAATCATTTGGTATTTGTCTTTCTCTGCCTTACTTATTTCACTGAGCATAATATCCTTTAGCTCCATACATGTTGCTGCAAATGGTAGGATTTGTTTCTTTTTTATGGCTGAATAGTATTCCATTGTCTATATGTACCACTTCTTCTTTATCCATTCATCTACTGAAGTACACTTAGGTTGCTTCTGCATCTTGGCTATTGTAAATAGTGCTTCAATAAACATAGTGGTGTATATGTCTTTTTGAATCTGAGAACTTGTTTTCTTTGGATAAATTCTTAGGAATGGAATTCCTGGGTCAAACGGTATTTCTATTTTTAATTTTTTGAAGAACCTCCATATTGCTTTCCACAATGGTTGAACTAGTTTACACTCTCAGCAGCAGTGAAGGAGGTTCCCCTTTCTCTGCATCCTTGCTAGCGTTTGTTGTTCCTAGTCTTTTCAATGTTGGCCATCCTAACTGGTGTGAGGTGATATCTCATTGTGGTTTTAATTTGCATTTCCCTGATAATTAGCGATGTAGAGCATTTTTTATGTGCCTGTTGGCCATCTGAATTTCTTCTTTGAAGAATTCTCTCTTCATACCCTCTGCCCATTTTTTAATCAGGTTATTTGCTTTTTGGCTGTTGAGGTGTGTGAGTTCTTAATATATTTTGGATGTTAACCCCTTGTCAGATATGTGATTAACAAATATATTCTCCCATACTGTAGGATGTCTTTTTGTTCTGCTGATGGTGTCCTTTGCTGTAAAGAAGCTTTTTAGATTGATGTACTCCCATTTGTTCATTTTTACTTTTGTTTTCCTTGCACAAGGTGATTCATTCAGGAAAAAGTTGCTCATGTTTATATTCAGGAGATTTTTGTCTATGTTTTCTTCTAAGAGTTTTATGGTTTCATGATTTACATTTAGGTCTTTGCTTCATTTTGAGTTTACTTTTGTGTATGGGGTAAAACAATAATCCAGTTTCATTCTCTTACATGTAGCTATCCAGTTTTGCGAACATCAGTTGTTGAAGAGGCTGTCATTTTCCCATTGTATGTCCACAGCTCCTTTATCATATAATAATTGACCATATATGCTTGGGTTATAACTGGGCTCTCTCTTGTGCCAGTACCAAATTGTGTTGATTTCTGCAGCTTTGTAGTAGAGCTTGAAGTCGGGAAGCATAATCCTCCCAGCTTTATTCTTGTTCTCAGGATTTCTCTGCCTATTCGGGGTCTTTTGTGATTCCATATGAATTTTAGAACTATTTGCTCTAGTTCCTGGAAGAATGCTGTTCGTTTTTTGATAGGGATTGCATTGAATCTGTAGATTGCTTTAGGCAGGTTGGCCATTTTGACAATATTAATTCTTCTTATCCATGAGCATGGGATGTATTTCCATTTTTTGTAATCTTCTTTAATTCATCTCATGTGTGTCTTGTAGTTTTTCAAAGGATAGGTTTTTCCCTACCTTTGTTCCATTTATTCCTAGTTATTTTATTGTTTTTGATGCAATTGTCAATGGAATTGCTTTCCTGATTTCTCTCTCTGCTAGTTCATTGTTAGTGTATAGGAATGCCACAGATTTCTGTGTATCAATTTTGTATCCTGCAACTTTGCTGAATTCAGATATTAGATCTAATAGTTTTGAAGTGGGTTCTTTAGAGTTCTTTACGTACAATATCACATCATCTGCAAGCAGTGACAGTTTAACTTCTTCCTTACCAGTCTGGATGCCTTTAATTCTTCATGTTGTCTGATTGCCATGACTAGGACTTGCTGAACTGTGTTGAATAAATGTGGTGAGAGTGAGCATTCTTGGCTTGTTCCTGATCTTAAAGGAAAAGTTTTCAGCTTCTCGCTGTTAAGTATGATGTTGGCTTTGGGTTTGTCATATATGGCCTTTATTATGTTGAGGTACTTGCCCTGTATACCCATTTTGTTGAGAGTTTTTATCATGAATGGATGTTGAATTTGTCTAATGCTTTTTCAGAATCTATGGAGATAATCATGTGACTTTTTTCCCTTTTTATGATGTTGATGGATTTTCTAATACTGTGCCATCTTTGCATCCCTGGAATAAATCCTACTTGTTCATGGTGGATGACCTTTTGATGTATTTTTTAATTCAGTTTCCTAATATTTTGTTAAGTATTTTTGCATCCATGTTCATCAGGAATACTGGTCTGTAATTTTCTTTTTTTGTGGTGTCTTTGCCTGGTTTTGGTATTAGAGTGATGCTGGCCTCATAGAATGAGTTTGGAAGTATTCCCTCCTCTTTTATTTTTTGGAAAACTTTAAGGAGGATGGGTATTAGGTCTTCTCTAAATGTCTGATAAAATTTAGCAGTGAAGCTATCTGGTCCGGGTTTTGTTCTTGAGTACTTTTTTGATTACCAATTCAATTTCATTGCTCGTAATTGGTTTGTTCAGATTCTCTGTTTCTTCCAGTGTCAGCCTTGGAAGGATGTATTTTTCTAGAAAGTTGTCCATTTCTTCTAGGTTATCCAATTTGTTAGCCCATAATTTTTCATAGTATTCTCTGGTATTCTGTGTTTTTCTGTAGTGTCTGTAGTGATTTTTCCATTCTCATTTCTGATTCTCCTTATATGTGTAGGCTCTCTTTTTTTATTGATAAGTCTGGCTAGGGGTTTTTCTATTTTGTTTATTTTCTTGAAGAACCAGCTCCTACTTTCATTGATTCTTTCTATTGTTTTATTATTCTCAGTTTTATTTATTTCTTCTCTGATCTTTATTATGTCCCTCCTTCTATTGACTTTGGGCCTCATTTGTTCTTCTTTTTCCAGTTTCAATAATTGTGAATTTAGACTGTTTGTTTGGGATTGTTCTTCCTTCTTTAAATAGTCCTGGATTGCTATATACTTTCCTCTTAGAAGTGCCTTCACTTTGTCCTATGGAATTTGGAGCATTGTGCTGCTGTTTCATTTGTCTCCATATATTGCTTTTTCTCTGTTTTAATTTGGTCATTGATCCATTGATTATTTAGGAGCATGTTGTTAAGCCTCCATGCGTTTGTAAGCCTTTTGTTTTCTTTGTAAAATTTATTTCTAGTTTTATACCTTTGTAATCTTAGAACTTGATTGGTACAATTTCTATCTTTTTGAATTTACTGGGGCTCTTTTTGTGGCCTAGTATGTGGTCTATTCTGGAAAATATTACATGTTCACTTTAGAAGAATGTGTATCCTATTGCTTTTGGGTGGAGTGTTCTATAGACATCTGTTAGGTCCACCTGTTCTAATGTGTTGTTCAGTGCCTGTGTGTCCTTACTTATATTTTGTCTGGTTGATCTGTGCTTTGGAGTGAATGGTGTGTTGAAGTCTCCTAAAATGAATGCATTGCATTCTATTTCCCCCTTTAATTCTGTTAGTATGTGTTTCATATATGTAGGTGCTCCTGTGTTGGGTTCATAGATATTTACAATAGTTATATCCTCTTTTTGGACTGACCCCTTTATCAATATGTAATGTCCTTCTTGACACTTGTTACTTTGTTTTGA